AAATTTCTAGCACAAAAAATTCTGGCACATTTACTTGGTAACCTCGTACATAGCCTGCGCCAAGTAGTCGACATTCTTGCTGGTCACACCCGCCATTGAGATGCGTCCATCTTTGGTCAGATAAATGCTAAATTCCTTCGACAAACGCTCGACATTCTCCGCTGTCATGCCGGTGTAGCAGAACATACCAATCTGATTGGTAATGTGATCCCATGAACGCGTTGAGCCCAATTTCACTAAGTTGCCCTTCAATTGTGCGCGTATATTAATAATACGATCAGCCATTGTTTTAACATCCTTCAACCAAATTGCTCTCAATTCTGCGTCGTTTAGTATTTCGGCAGCCAAGCGGGCACCATGCACTGGTGGATTTGAGTACAGTGCACGAATGAGAATCTTAATTTGTGATGTAACACGATCGGCTTCCTCTTTGCTGGCAGTGATGACGGAGTAAGCACCGGCACGTTCGCCATACAAACCCATATTCTTGGCAAAACTCTGCGCCAGGCAGTAGAGATGGCCATCTTTTTCGAAAATGCGTACAGCTTGAGCATCACGATCGACATCGCCGGAAGCAAAGCCCTGGTAGGCCATATCGAAGAAGGGGAATAAATTCTTCTTCTTCACCAATTGTGAGAGTTCCTTCCACTGTTCGAGCGATAGATCGACACCTGTCGGATTGTGCGCGCACGCATGCAACAAAACGATGGATTTTTCTGGGATTTTCTGCAATTTAAAGTTGGCGTAGTGTTTAACAAAAATCGGAAAGCAAGTATCTAGGTATGTACGAGTATAATGAATATAAAAGAAACTCACGCCAATATCGTCGAAACAGCCTTTGACATCCAAGCCACAAGTTTTGGGATCGTAATAACGGTATTTCTTAATTGGCAAACCAGCATGCTCGAAAATGGGTACATGGTTGCCCCACGTAGGTGTGGGTACATACACCTCGCGATTACCTTGCCAGAATTTGCTAAGGAAAGCCGCACCGATACGCAAAGCGCCTGTGCCACTGATGGACTGCAAAATATGATTGAGAGCTCAGAGTTATAGAAGAAGAAACATATTTGATATTTGTAACAAGTAATTTTTAAGCAAAAAAAAACAACCGACTTCAATTCTCACATACAAACTTAGGAGTACCGTTAATTTCTTCAATCCAATGATCGGATCTAAACCAAATTAGTATGGTACCACCTTTCCGACAAAAAAAGAAAAAAGAATTATCGAAATCGTTTCACGTGGTGCAAAGTTATGCGGTAACGTATTTAAAAAAAATATATATATATATATACCAACAAATTGATAGCCTCCTCCTTTTTTTGAAGTCAGTTAAAAAAAATT